AGGATCAATCTGGGACTTGCGGCGTCCCTGAGATCCGCAGGATGCGCCCTTTGCGATCACCATCTCTCCGGGACGGCTTAGGTCCATCGGGACCGTCCGGGGGAGGAGATATCGGCTGCGGTGCCGTGGGGGGCGGGGGGGGGGTCGGTTGGGAGCGGGGGCGGGGGCCGGCAGGGTGCGCCGCCGTATCGCCGCGACGCCAGCTCCGCCCTCGAAATCATAGCATGTTGATAGTTTCACAGAAGGGCCCTTCCTGAGCTTTGGCCATGGCTGCATAATGTGGACTGATCTGAAAGGTTAGAGTTCACTCCAATTAGTACACGCAGGTTCACGTGTCGCTGGCAAACTATTTATGTATATATGCAAAGCAACAAACAAAAACCCTGCGTGGATTTGCTCAGTTTGCATTCAGTAATGCCATTGTAGTTTTCTACATCACTGACTCAAAGAGACAAAGGTCAGGTGAGCCTCGAGCAGGGCAAGGCTATAAGATAATGACTGGCTTTTGGCCAGGAGGTGAGTTGAGCTTCAGTTTCTCTAATGGGAAAATGGATGGCCCAGAAGATGTGCAGAGCCAAAGCAATTGAAAGGGAATTAACAGCTTTTCTGTCATGTCAAATCAAGCAGAACAGAGTCAGAAACAAATATATTCATTTCCAAGAATGGCCCTGAGAATCACCAGGTCAGAGCAAATCCTGAAGGAATGTCAACCCCTTTGACCGCTTGGCATGTACTCTGAATTCCTCTTTCCTGCCTCTTTTTTGGGGGGATAGAGATGGGTGGGGAAATCTGTGTGGGAGAAAATAGGGATAAGTGATGTTGCTTTTCTTTTCCTTCCTTGACGGATCCATCCCATACTTTATAGCGGGATGGTATGACTTGTACGCGATGAGACCCCATTCACTTAAACAGCAGTTGCTTGAATTATTTTATGGAAATAACAGGTGCCGCATATGGAAAGCAGAAAGCCAGTTTGGCGTAATGGTTTAAGGCATCAGGCTAGAAACTGGGAGACTCTGAATCCCGATCCTGCTCTAGGCACAAGGCCGGCTGGGGAATTTGGGCCAGTCCCTCACTCTCAGCCCTAGGAAGAAGGCAACGGCAAACCACTTCCCAAAATCTTGCCAAGAGAACTGCAGGGACGTGTGCTGTCAGTCGGCAGGAGTTAATGACTCGAAGGCACAAGAAACAGCAACAACAATATGGAAAGCAAAAAAATTACACCACAGTATAAACCAATCAAACAGTATAACATTTGATATAAAACCTGATATAGTCCCAAACGCTATCATAATTAATCTGTATCCAGTACTTCCTCTGAAGGGAAAAGTTATTCCAGCTTCATAAAAGTCCTGAAGAAAAAAGTATTTTAAGAGTCTCTTTAAAGGTTAGGAGATCAGAATCCAAATATAGTTCAAGGATGAGTCACTTCCAAAGAGTAGAAGCTCTTCAGCATGAGGTGACCCTGATGACATGAATGAGTGCAAACCTGACCTGTAATCAAATTATTCAGAGAACTGACTATTCCTCTCATGGTCCAGGAGATCGAGACCAGCAATTTAAACTGCTAATGCTGCTGAAGACCCAATAGTGATGGAATGGACTTATGAAGGCCAGGCTCAGGGAGATAAGCGTGTTCTTAGTTCTCTGCAGGAGTGTGGGAAGTTCAAGAGGATGAGGCTGGCACTTCCCTAAGGAATTCACGGTGTTGTGGCTGGCTGGCCTGGGAACTACGATTCAGTCTGGGGATATTTTCTGTCTAGAGGTTGTAGCTAATAAACACAGCAGAACTGAATTTGCATTGTCTCTTGGAGTTCTTTGGGCTAAACCTGACACCAACAAAGGTAAGGATCCTCCCCAACCCCAAAAGAAGTCAGGGTGAATTGGGAGAGGTCCAGGATCACGTGCACCATGCAGTTGTGGATCTGAAGCTGAGGGAAGAAGGTAAAGGCAGGAAGAGCTGCCAACAAAGTATTGCAGTAGTCCAGGCAAGACACTCCCAACACGTGAAGGAACTGCTTGGTGATTTTATTAGCAAGAACTGATGAAATTCTCTGGTTACAGGTCCTTGTAGTTTTATGAATGAAAGGCTTGAAAGAAAGGTTCTCATTGATAAAACGTCTGAAACTCCCATCGACAGTTCTGAAAAATAAAAGAAGTAGGAGAGGAGAGAGACAATAAATGATACTGAGGTTGAAGAACAGTAAGCTTGGCTTTTTCAAAATTTAATTGGAGATCGTGGGAACACATCACACTGGGAATCCCAATAGAGCAACTGGGGAGGAAGCACACCTGATATCTAACACCAGAGCAGAAGAATGCACCTGAAAGTCATTAGCATAAATGGGAGAGTTAGCAAGAAAAGAGAAAGAAAGAAAGAAAGAAAGAAAGAAAGAAAGAAAGAAAGAAAGAAAGAAAGAAAATCAATCAGAGAACCTAGGGACAAAGAATACAAAGAAAAAAAAAAAA